TACATATCATTTTTCTTTTCTCAGGTGTCAGTAACCTCCTGAACTGCCACAAAGCTTTTAAAAAGCCAGTATGTCAGGGTCTGCAGAAGCAGGTGGGAGAAGTTCAGATTTGCACAGGGGCTCCACACAAGGTATCCCCAACGCAGCAAAAGCCGCTGCGGTTCTGTTGAGATGCTGATGGCAGAGGCACAGAGATGTGCTGCTGTCTGTGCTCTGTGGCCAATGCCACTCACAGCACTGCAAACCCCAGCAGTGAATGCAAGGCCCTGTGCCCATGTCCCCACCCTGCTCCCTCTCTCTGCGAGCACAGCCCAGCTCTCGTGTTCTGTCACTGGACAGAGCCCTGACACCACACGGGCAGAGGGAAGCTCTGGCACCCACATTGTCAACAACAAACTCGTGTGGTATTAACACAGCTGCGGTAGGAAGTCTCCAGTAACTTTCAGCGCTAAAAATCTGCCCCTTTCTCCCTAAACTGGGGATTCTTCAAGCCTGAAAACCTCTGAACAGCACCTGGAACCACATCCGACTCCACAGGGTCCTGAATGACAAACAATAAATGGTAAAAGCTAAAAATTTCTGCATCTGACTGGCCTGCACAAGACCTACAAGAAGAATTAGAGCAGCATTACAGCATTTGGCAGCAGGATAATTAAGAAATAATACATTTAAAAGTTTGCTAATCTCAGAGAATAATCTCATTCTGGCTGTGGTTAGAAAAACAATGGAGGTTCACATCCCTAATAGATTTTTGATGATCCTTGTGCTCCACAGGCTACCTCTAAGAGGTTAAAAAAATAAGTACCAGAAAAGTGGTTAAAAGTAACTGGTTTGATCATTAACAGAATATTGTCTTCAGTTACATAAGTGTTTGAATCTGAAAAAGGGATATGAAAGAAAAGCACTTGAGCACAGCCCTCACTCACAACCTGAAGAGGAACACCAGGTGCCAATTTCAGTGAGGAAACTCGTCACAAGGGCTGGGAGCAGGACTGGTAAAACTTGGGATCCAGAACAGGAGCAGCGCCAAGTCCCTGGGGCAGACAGGGAATCATCAGCTTTGCTCAAGGCAGTGCATGAGCAGTTTATTTCTCACAGCTTGTACTTGTAGTTCCTCTCTTTCCTCATCCAGCATTATTGGGAACATCCTCCTGTTCTTGACAATGGGAATGTCAACATTTTATTAACATGTGTAAATATTATACAGGCTTAAATATTCACACATGCATAACTTTAAGTAGGCTGCATTTCTATTTACAACTACTTATTTAAATTGCTTCCTTTAGATAGAGAATTCTCTCTTCTAGACCCATTGAGTTCTCATATGGATCAGAGTTCCTTTGATCATTAACAACTGCAAAATTTTGGTGCAGCTTTGCTTGCCTGAGGCGCCGCTTTGCTCACTGAAGATCATTCTAGGAAAACACTGTGGGCAAGAGCGTCTGCTTGTCTGGCTATCCATCCTCCAGCAACTTCAGGTGTCAGCGGGCAATTTCAGCTAGATTGGAGAGAGAGGTTCTTGTCTCACACATAGCCCAGCTCTCACCAGCACACAGGGAGCTGGGCAGGTTACACCCACGCCGAGGCCCTGCCTGCTCCTCTGAGCTGCTCTGGGTTGTTTCAGCCCTGGTCTCCTCCCTGAGCCCCTGCTCCCAAAAGCCTCAATTCAAGCCCAGGGATCGGGCACGAAGCTGTGAGCGTGTCCTTGGGGGAATCCAAGGAACACACTCTGAGCTTGGCAAACTGCCCGCAGCAGCTTCCCAGGGGCACCCAGCCCTGCCCGGGCAAACACCAGGAACAGTGGGAGGAGATGAACGGCAGATAGATCAGGAGTAACAACATCACGGGATGGAACACAGGCACAGCAAAACAGGGGGGAAAGGCTGCTGGAAGGGCCAGCAAGGCAAACGTGCAGAGACAGCCTCTGCAGGCGCTTCCCATGTACTGTGCACGAGCTTGGTCTGACCCAAAAGACACAACAGGGCAGTGCTGTGCTGACCTCAGACTATTAAATACAGGTCTATTAGGTCAAAGATCAAAGAGTTATTAGAGTCAGAGCTGGCTCATCTTTGAGTGTTAGAGTCTTAGACACTTGCTCACATTCATTTTGGAGAAACACTGCAGCATCCTGCAGCTCTTCAGTTCACCACAAACATGAGTAGCTATATTTAAAATTTAGGTTATTATAACTTCCTTGTATTTTTTAATGTCCAACAAATGAATGGGTCAACTCAGTGGTGAACAGACAACACTTCTGAAAAAGAGAACCATTCTTTTAAGTGCCTTACTATTCAAATATTTATTCTTTTTAAAAGTTTCCTTCAAAATGACTGGTTTGAAGTCAAAGCACTGGATCTGATACCTCTGTGGATTTTTTTAACATTCAGTTGTAATACTTCAATGTTGATCTGCTCTGATAGTCACAGCATTTAAACCAGTGACTTGACTACATGCTGAATAGGGAATTTTTTTTTTCCTAAGTTTACTGTCACATCCTTTCTTACAATACAGGAAGGAAGAAGGAAAGCAATTTGCAAAATATTTTATACAATTTGCAACAGTCCTGTTAATGCCACCTAATGCTTTTCTTTTTGAAATTATTTTATCTTAGTTTCTGTCAGGATACAAAATACAAGAGCTGCTCTCTCAAACTACACAATGTGTTGCAAGAGATTTTAGCATTGGAGTGGGGATTAATCCTGGAGCACAAAACGAGGGAAAGAAGAGATTTAAAGGCAAGCAGGCACACAAGATTTGTGCTGAGGAAGAAAAAGCGTCCCCTAAGCAGCACACACAGGGGATCCAACTGCCCTAAGGGCTGCTGCTGCTGTAGGTCTTCCCTCTAGCCTTCTTTAAAAATCATTTTCTATGAAGATGGAAAGCACCAGATTACAAATATTTTAAGATAGAGTCAATAGAAAAATAATGTTTGGAATGCATGCAGACACCTCAACTGAATTTGTGTTGTAGTACAGCAAGTTCTTCAAACGCCAGCTGTGAGGCAGCACCTCCCAGCCTCTGCAAAGATCACTCCTCACTTCGTGCCTTACCTGCCTTGCAATGTGCAAAAATTTGCCTCTCTGTGTTGTTTAGGAATTTTACAGAGACTGAATTTGTTTTACACAGTGTCTGTGCCAGAACCCTGGGGGGATCAGATGCCCACAGCCCAAAGCACACCAGATCTGAGTGACTCTTGATCACTCTAACTGTGACCCCTCAGGGTTTGCTTTATTTTCCCATGAAAAACAAAGAAATGTACCAGGCGCATTTACTCTTTAGGAATATACAGTGTAACCTCCCCAGCATTGTCCATTTCACATTTTATTTCCTTCAGATGGCTACCATATGGCCCTCGTGATTTATTTCACCTGAGTTTCTTCAGTTGTTCCAAACTCCCCCCTTCGGGACTATGATTTCTGTTAGGACACACATCGATCTTCCGTGAGATGGAACATGGAAGAAAAATTTCAAAGTCCTTTCCCCAAGTACAAACCGCTATAAATATTAATTTAACTTCTCTGCTGCTTTATTTTTTAATTATCCCTCCCTGTCAGTCACAAGGCCGAGTCTCACCAATGGTACAGGTGCATTTAAAACAGCACTCTGTAGTTGAAAAGTTCAGAAGTGAAGAAAGACAAGTCTGTAACAAACTATAACTGAGAAAATTGAGTTTTCAAATGCATAACCTCATCAAACCAAAACAGAAGCCATGGATACACTGAGAATCCTTTCTCTGAAAATGAGTGAGCTCTGTGCCCAAGCTCAGCTTCCGCCCTGCAGCCCTTTCAGTCGCGGAGCTGATCAAAACAAGGTCACAATGATATCCTCCTTTAATGAAAGAAATGTTCCTTTTCCATTCCTCTTTTCTGGGAAACAGGTGAGTTGGTTTTGTTCAAACGTTCAACATTTTAACGAAGATCCCTTTGAAATCACCCTTGAAAAGTGCAGGCCTAATAAGTTTAAGTTTCAAACAGTTCCTGGAAACGGGAGGTCAGAATCCAAAAATCTTTCAGACAATGTCAGTGCACCTGTGAGAATCTTACACGGAGACAACAAAGTCCTCAAAAACCAGCCTGTTACTTCTTGTGTGGAAGAAAAGTAAAAGAAACAAAGGGGGAAAAGTGGCTCAAATTCACAGTTCTGGAATAATTGGCCCTTCCATCTCTGGTTGTGCAGGTAAGAGACACACAGCATTCCAGAAAGGAAGGCCTGGGTAAAGAATCACCCAACATCCCCTCAGCTCCAGAGAGCCACCCCTTCCTGCCCCTGGCTCAAGGCAGGGCTGACACAGGAGTCAGAGCAGGGTACTCCCCACTTAGTCATGCCCAGACAGTTTCTAACCCCAAAGTGTTTAGATTCAAACCTTCCTCCGCCAGACAGCTCCAGAACACAAGACAGAAGGGCTTTTGTGTTATTGCTAACTAAAAACTAGCATCAACATCCTGCCTCACAGAACAGGTTTTACCATGCTTTCCTTCTCATAGGAAACCTGAATCAAGTGTTTAGTATTTCACTGAAAAGTGACGGCACAGCAGAGAGAATATTGGTAAAGTGAGAATAACACATCATGCATGCTCTCAGATGTTCATTTCTGTGCAAGTCAAAAATCACAGAGAGCAGTTTCAACAAATCTTAACATGCCTCATGCCCAGAAATGGGATTCCTCCTACAAACACCTTAGGAATAAATATCACAACATCTTCCTCTTGTGTCCAGTCTCCTCCCACTTTACTCTATTCACTTACCAAAACCACACAGGTATTTTTATCTTTTTCACCTCTTACCACATGAAATCAGAATATCATGAACCTTCTATAACAAGGCCAAACAAGTTATGGGATCCATTGTTTCATGTCTTAAAAAGCATTCTTAAAAAAGCCCAGAAGGACAGACAGATACACATTATTTACCTGAAAACAGATTTGTGGTAATGTAAAAAACTTCATTTTGAATGCATCGGTTGGGTACAGATTTGGTGATGGATTCATTACCGAACGTACCTTTGCTTTCAGATCAGCACAGATCTCCAGCTGCCTGTGCCTGGAGTCGGCCAGCAGCGCCTGTGCCTCGTGAGCAGCAGCAGCCTCGGCAGCAGCAGCCAGGGCCCTGAGGACAAAGGCTTTCCTGAGCTGAGCCCAGGCTGACAGCAGCGCTCTGCGCTGGCTTCTGATGCTGTGGTAGTGATCCCGAGCCTTCTCGTGAGCTACCTGAAAGGGGAGGGCGTTTCACAAAGGATTATTAATAAAATTGTGATTCTAGACATTTTTGCAAACCTGGCTGTAACCGATTTAGGTCTTGTATCCCCAATATTCCCACGGAATCCAGGGCACTGTGCCAGGGGCCAGGGATGTCACCGTGTCCTGGTGTCCTGGGCAGTGACACCCTCCAGCACCACAGCATCCCCCTGGCCCCCTGCTCTCTGTTCAGCTGTGCCTTTGCAATGGGAATAAATGAAACGCAATGGTCCCTCCCTGCAGGTCCTTCAATATTTCTCCAGAGATATTGAGCACTTCCAGCAAGATGAGGCTTTTCCTATCAAATTCTGATCTGCAGAGAAACAGGACACAATGGCAGCAATTGTACAAAAGCAGTACGGGGGGAATCAGCTTCACTTCTTTCCTAGCAGGAAGTTCGGAAATAAAATCTTAGTTGGCCAAGCAGCGCAGTGCCACCACCAGTGTGACCACATAGCAAAAACTGCAGTGTTTAATCCAAAATCCACTTGCTTTGGCCTAATTCAGTGAGGTTCATGAGGATATTCAAGGTTCAAGGCCTTGATGGAAGCAGTACCAAGTAAGGGTGATAGAATGAGGCAGCAGAGTCTTGAACCTGTCTTATATCCCCAAAATATATAGGGATGAGTGAGATTCTAGAGATGGCTGGCTCTCTCAGGTGCCAAGGGGACCATTCCAGATGCTAATTGCAGGCTCTGGCAGGGAGCAGGGGATGCTGACTCACTCCCAGACATTGCCATCAGCTCCTGGCTGGCTGAAGCTGCTCCTCGAGCTTCCCAGGGCCAAAGCTCAGCGCTGTCCCTCAGCAGCTCCCACTGCAGGGCTGCTGCCCCACACCTCAGGCTCCTGAGCAGGGCAGGGCTGGAGTCTGCTCCTCCAAACACTGAGCTCTGCCAGGACCTGCTCTGGGATCAGCTCAGTGCCTGACCACTCTGCACGGGGCAAGGAAGGCTCCAAGCTGCTGTGCCAGTGGGACACAAACACTTCTAAGAGCAGTGGTTTAGCATTTTCCATAGTCATCATGCTGATACACACACCAAGACACATCAGCTCAATGAAGAATTATGTCTTAAAATTTTAGATGAACCTTCCAAGGTGTAGGGAGACCCTTTAATGGTATCTGTGCTTACAACATACCTGCATTGTCCAAAGCACACAACTATTCAGCCCTATTCAGGCCAGGGCAAAATTTCTGAAATCCACAAGAACTTTATTTTTAGTCAAACTCTGGCTAATTAGCAGTATCACTTCACTGTCATTCCTTTGCACTAGACATTCCTCAAACACAGGGAAGTAGAAGGTCTAAAAATACAGACAGAGATAAGAAGAGCCTCCTACTTTCCTTATGACATCCTGAAGTGTTCTGGCCTTGAAATGGGTTTCTCAATTAGCTGCTATGTGCTTATTCACTGTGGAGTGCAAGAGGAATCAGCAATCAATTTGAAAGCATTATGTATATAAAAATAGCCTCTCCCTTAGAGTGGGAGATAACTTTCTACTCTTCCTGCTATAGATGTGCCACAGAACAATTAAAATAACTATTCCAAGACAGTGCAACAAAGCTTTACATCCTCACGAAAAATAAAAACACCAAGAGAAGCAGAGTGGCATAACACAGCTATAAAACTGTAAGGCAGAAACAATGCTAACAAATTATTTTTGTGAGTTTGGCTGTAAGACTACGTGGAACTAAAAAGTCTGCCCAGGAGTTATTTTGAAGAGATAAGTTTTAAAATTCCTGCATTTAAAAACCAGGGATGTTTCTTCTTTACTGTGCACAACAAAATTTATAATTAAGAAATTTTAACATTAAAAATTTTCAATAAACATACATTCTTTAATACAACCATTCACTACATAGTTTAAGAATGTGCATATTTGAATGAATAGGTAAGCCAGCACTGACCAGCTCCTGCCTGGATTTGTGGGGAAGATACCTCTGCAGCATATCCAGGTACAAAGTCCTCCTCCTCTGAAGATCGCTTGGGTACTGATTGATAACAGTCTGGAAAATCCACTGATCTTCTTCCTTCCAGTCACTGTTCCTACAGGAATACAAAACAATGCATCCCAGTGTAAATTAACCACTGAAAAGGAGGAGTTTGGTTCTGGACATCCCAGCCCCGAGCGGGCTCACAGTCCTGGTGCTGTGAACTGGAGCTGGGTTAGAGGTGAATAAATGGGATTAATGAAATAAAGCAAACATGCATTGCTTTGCTGATATGACACCGTGCCATCATTTGAGTGAATTGTTCTGTTTCTAATCTGGCTTTTTACTGGGGAATGTCACTGTGTTTCTCAAACATGCCACATAATTGGATAATCAGTGACCCCACAGGGAAAATACAGCGTAAAAAGAACAAGATGATCAGACTCCACCACTGAGCACTAAATAAATGATCAAAAGGGAATGAATGAAGTGACAATCCTTGCACACAGCTAAATGAGTGAGGATCTAGTTTACCAAACTCCAAACAGCCATAAATTCATCAGCAAGGCATAAGAGTCACCATTTTTAGAGTAGGATCTATAGTAATCAGCTTGCATGCCTCTGTCTCAGAAAATGAGGGGAGCAAGAAGTAACATCCATCTGAAAGAATACCACAGGCTGGGATGTAGATTTTTAGCCTCAATCTGAACTCTTGGCCCTGAAGGGATTAATGTCAGGCTGTCATTGTCAGCATTAACATCCAAGCAGCAACACTGAGTCAGACCAAAAGGTCTCTCTAGCCCAGTGACCTGGTTTCAGAAGTGACTAAGAGCCCAGGGATAATTAAAAGGCAATCATGAGACTCTACCCACCCCCCAAATTCCTGCTGCCTCCAGCTGCTGCAGTTCCTGGGCTCCCAGGCCAGCAGCCCTGTCTCAGTGTTCCATAGCTCTGCATCCAGTGAGGCGCTGGAACAGCCTTATCTTTATGCAGGCTGAAAGAACAGGTGCTTCAAAAAGGGGATTTTTGTGAGAAACCTCACAAGTAATTAACATTAAGCCAGACTCCATGATCTACCACTAAATAAATCAGTAATCGTCCCCTGTGAGTCCTGACACACCTCAGTATGAGGTGACACACCTCAGTACGGTGGCACCTGAACGTGCCACTTCAGTGACAGTAGGGAGACAGTTCTAAGAGCTGAGACTCTGCTTTGTAACATTTCACTTTGGATATTTCTGCCCATGTGGGCTGGTGCACAGACAGATCTGCCTGCAGAGAGGAGGAGAGAGGCGGGGTGGGATCCCTGAGAGCAGGGAGCAGCCCCAGCCACCAGGCAGCTCCTTCCTGCCACAGCTGCACTGCTCCTGCCGCCCCGCACCGCTGTCAGCTCCTGCTCGTTTATATTCCTCTAATGCCAGCCAGCCAAACCTCTGCACTGCTCACAACAAGGACAAGGTTCTCTGGGAGATCCTTTGGGGAGCAATCAGCTGGAGAGACAGCTACAAGTGGTTTATTGTAAGTAGGGACAAACTGACTGCCAATGCCTCGGTTTGTCAGCTGTGCCAGAATTTGTCAGCTGTGCTGAGATTTTGTCAGCTGCTTGTAGAAAAATAGTGAAAAAAAAAAAAACCCAACCAAAAAACCCAAAACAGCATGACCCAGCCCAGCATATTCATAGCCACCAAACACATGGAGAATTTCAACATATCCTGCTGAGTGAATCTGAGATGTCACCTCACTTACACTTCTGTAAAATTCCAGAAAGGAATATCTCATCTAAAACAAGTCTGAAAAGTGCCAACACATTTGACATGAATATTTAAGGTATTATCAAGTTCCTGCACTGTCAAGATATTGACAAACATTTGCCAGGCTGAACGCCTGACCTAAATTTTAAATGCAGAGCTTGGTTTTCTTGTATGCAGCATTGTAGCAGAGCACAGCACAATCTCTGTTTGTTTCAGAGCTGAAACACAGCAATTGTCTCACCCGCACAGCCCGAGGCAGCTGCTTCCTTTGGAACAGATTTAGCCAGCGCTAATCCCTGGCTTTGCACACTCTGAGGAACACAAACGGCTCCAGGGGAGCTCCCTCTCCTGCTGCAACCCCGCGCATCCCGCGCTGCAGCACCGGCACCGGGACCGGCACCGCGGCCACCGGCGGGCACACACAGGGGCTGCCGTGCCACCGCACACACAGGGCCACAATGCCACCCTGACGCACAGGGCCACAATGCCACCCTGACGCACAGGGCCACCGTGACACCACACACACAGTGCCACATAGTGCCACCACACAGTGCCACATAGTGCCACCATGACCCACAGAGTGCTACCGTGCCACCACACACACAGTGCTACCATGACAGAGTGCCACCGTGACACCACATACACAGTGCCAACCGTGCCAGAGTGCCACAATGCCACCACACAGAGTGCCACCGTGCCACAGGGTGAGAAGCCCAGCCCCTCTGTCACTGAAGGCGCTGCCCATTGCAGCACAAACAGTCGCAGGAGCCTGGAAGAGGAATCCACCCTGAACCTGCTCCCCCATTCCTTTGAAAGGATGCTGCACAGCATGCAGTGCTGAGCCTGCAATGCTCCATTCATCCTTCAGTCATTTAAATAATTCAGACACCCTCGGAAATTGTGGAAAAAATATAATAGTGCTTAAAGAATCATTCTAACATGCATCAGTCCAAGCCCACAATTTGTGGAATAGCTCACAACCTGGGTATTTCCCAAGCACAAACATTTGTGTTTCAGCAACATAAAAAAAAATTAATTTAGATTATAAAATATTGTAATCTTGTATAAGGCTTGAAATCAAACCCAAGCTCTTCTTCCATTTCTAAAAGCAATGACTACTGCAATGTGCATTCTAGTGTGAACAAAAATCACACAGAATAGACCAGACCAGAACATTATCTTATTCCAAAATTTCTGGTTTGAACATTTTATGTACATTTTCCAAATTCTGTTCCAGACAGTCTGAAGTGGTAAAAAAAGGGGATGTGCAATGCCAGAGTAGTATTAACTGAAGGTTTCTTTACTGTACAATCAACATAGGATGGCAGAGGAAGTGAAGTGGCCAAGTGACCCAGCTATTGTGTTATCATAGAATCATGTGCTACTGAGCAACCTCTCAAATGACAAAAATAAGAAAAGAATGCATTGCAGGAGGATGTGTGGCCTCTCTGGGTACAGAGCAGTGGCAGGAGCTGCAAAGGCTTTCCTAAGGCTGAATTAAGCACAAGAGCACAGGGGTGCACACCAAGGTCAAGGGGCTGTCACTCCAATATCTGTGCCAGCTGGATCACAGTTAGCACGATGAATTATACAATACTTCAATCACAAGGCTGCATCTTTGCAAACTCATAGGATATCTCCATGCAAATTAGCCAATATAAATGTAAGAAGTGAGTTTTACAAATTCATACCTTGGAAGCAAGCAATGCTATAGGAACAAAGTCTTTCTTGTTTTAAAATTGAAAACTAATTTTTACTCCTGTTGTGGATAAAATCACTTGAACATAAATGAGCAACACATTAAAAATTTGGAGACCAGAAGGCAAACAAAAGTCCCCAAGGTCTAGTTTTAAATCAAATGCCTGATTGATGATTGCTGGTGGTTCATTTATGATTCCCTCCATTTCCAGTTCTCAGGGCTGGCCCAAGCTGGGTCTGTGTCCCTGCAGCCTCTCACAGATTCCTGCCCAATCCACTGCATTTCTCCCCTCTAGGGATCACACTTCCCTCCTTCCAAGTGCCTCTGCACATGTGTTCAGGCTACCACTGATTTTCTTTCATTGCAGATATGGTATTTTATCTTTAAATCCTGATGTTATTTAATTATTGGTGCAAAATTAACTGACTCCAGACCTAAACTCACACTTGGCCTATGATCACTGAAAATACTATGGCAGATTTTTCAACCATTTTCAGAAATTATGTTGTCTATATCCACATCTGTCTATTGTTCAGTAGCACACATGCTGTGTGAGTCAAGGATTTTAATTTATGAATTTTCACCAAAGTTGTGTTCATCATGAACTTTGACACAAATTTGATTAAAATTGCGAGAAAGACTTTGTACATATTTACTGATTTAGCATTTGCCACAGATTTTCTTATTGAGGTTGTTAGAACTTCTTCTGTAAGAGAAACTATAACAAAATATCAGAGAGAGCAGCAAAAGAACTGCCTAAATTTGCCATTTGTGGCTCCATAATTCAAAACAATTTTCAATAAGTATCATGTCCCAACTGCTAGGATGATCCAGTAATAACATGCATGTTTCAGGTACCACAAGAACACAGAATATTTGTACAATCCGTACAAAAGATAAGTAGATCATACCATCCCTTTCTATGGCAGCCAGCATCTTCAGCCTGTTTCAGCACACCAGACTCATTCAGCAGCAGGGACAGAACAAACACTGCACTGTATGTGTACACAGAAAACCGATTTGGAAGCAACATGAGATTGTTCTACCAAAGAAATTCAGGGACCTTCCTGCTCCCCCCGGTTTCTCCTGCCCAGGCCTCAAACCACTCCACTGGCCAACCCCCTCTTAGTCATTTGACAGCCTGAAGCCATCCAAAGGAATATCAGGGATGGCAAAGACAAAGGCCACGCAATGTGTGCAACTCAGGACCTCCTGGCCTCTAGGCAGCCTCAGCAGGAAGGCTAAGCTTTATGTTATTAATACACAGGTTTATTACACTTCTAGATCATTATGAATACTGCTCTTGCAATAAACACTTTCATTTACAGAAAAATCTCTCCTCCTTTTGGTTATCTGAATCAGAGCTATATATATATTTTGTATTTCTTTGTGATGACAATTAATGCAGAGATCCAAAATTTGCGATAACATTGGACCTTTTTATCTGCTTAATAGATAAAAGTCCCGGAGGTGTGTCTTGGAAAAAACTGTACTTCTCTGTCATAATCTTGCTAGTGTAATTACCATAGAGAAGGAGCAATTTCCATTCCTGCAAGAGCATATGCAAAGGACATTTGATGCACACCAGATTGTTGGTTTCCTTAATCCACCAAACGCATTGTTTGTTATTTCAGCTGATCACCCTTGCAAGGCCTGCAAGCTCCACTGCAGCTGTGAGAGCACTGCGTGCCCAAGCCCAGGGCTGGGCAGTGCCTGCCCTGCTTGCACAGAGCAGAGCCACACCGAGCAGCACAGCCACCCAGA